CCCATTACTAATCCCCTAAAACCAGGCCCTTCAATACCTTCTCCGTGCTACCCCCTCCTCATGGCTACAGCAGGTGGTTGCAAGGCAAGTGCGCATCCTTCTGAGGTTTTCCCAGGAGTTTCATGCCTCCTGCAGAGACATGGGCCCCAAAAACCCACCAGTCGCCGGCTCGGGAGCCCTCATCGGCTGAGGAGGGTCTGCCAAAATGTTGCAGGTTATTTGTAACCCCCCAAGGACTTGCAAGGCTTGTCCCCCCCATTGTCTGAAGAGAACAGCCCTCCACACGCCTCTTCCATCCTGGGTGCCCTCCCGATGCCACCCCGTAGGGTGCTGCGGGGCACGGTGGGTGCCTGGAGGAGCCACGGGGAGGAGGGGACACCATGGGGACCGTCCCACCTTGCTGTGCCCCCCAAGTCCTGCAAAACACAGTGGGGGAGCAGAGCACAGAGGACCTGGAGGTGCTCCAGCAACTGGGACCTGGGTCTGCACTGGGGTTGGGGTACTGTGGCCTCCGTCCCCACCCTGGCCGGAGCCCTCCTGGAGGGTCTGGGTGCCGGGGCACCCCGGGGCTGCCGGGCAAGCTGGCACCCCACGGCGGGAGAGGGGAGGGGGGTGGAAAAGTGGGGGGGGAACCCCGGGGGAAATTAGAGCAAGGAGCGATGTTTGATGTTCTGCTCTTTAAGCGATTAATAATCTTTCGGCGTCGGAGAATCAGCTGAAAATCTTCCCTGGAAAATAATGAGCGGAGAAACATTTACTGATTAGTCTAATCCCAGCTAATCCTATCTGATGAGCATATATCAAGATACCCTTTAACTGATTTATTGTCCGTAGGAGCGGTTGGGGATGCCCCTTCTCCACCGTGGACGGGCTCCCGGGGGGGGGAAGCCGGTGGTGGCCGCACGTGTGTGTGTGTGTGTGTGTGTGTGTGTCCTACACCCCCACCCCATCGACTCCTCGGCTCTGCTTCAGGCTCTGAAGCAGATTCCTCCTTTGAACTTGGAAACCAAAGACTAAGCGCAGTGTGACCTTTTTTTTTTTTTTTCTTCCCCCCCCTTTTTTTTTTTTTTGTGTTTTTTTTTTTTTTTTTTTTTTGTGGTTGTACTCAATGATCTCAAAGGTCCCTTCCAACCATGAAGATCCTGTCACTCTGTGATTCTCAGTTCCCTTTCACCAAGCGTGTCAGAGGCGGTGTTTTCACAACAGCCATTGCTTCCCCACGCTCCCAGCAGGACACGGAGGAGGTGGAAGAAAAGCCTTTTTCTTTCTCTCCATGCTTACTGAGGCAGGGACCTTCCCCCACCCCGCAGGCTCCCATCCTTGCCAAATTGCTGCTCCGCTCCTGGGCCACCTTACACCTCGGTGAGGTCCACTGCGGCCACCTTGAGCTTGCCCTGAAGGCTGTGGTTTCCATGTTGTCCCCGGGGACCCCATCCTGTGTTGTGAGGAGCTGATGGGGGGGTATGGCACGGAGCTGGTGGGGAGCATCGGGCTGTGACTCTGCGTGTGGCGGGAGTGGGGCTTTTTGGAGACGAGTTCTCCATCCAGCTGGGAGCCCAGGAACCTCTTCCACCCCGAGCCGCCCGAAACTGTCAGATGGTCCTCTATTATTGACCTGATTCATATCTAAACCAGGGAGGTGAAAGCTGTCTTATCCCATTACTAATCCCCTAAAACCAGGCCCTTCAATACCTTCTCCGTGCTACCCCCTCCTCATGGCTACAGCAGGTGGTTGCAAGGCAAGTGCGCATCCTTCTGAGGTTTTCCCAGGAGTTTCATGCCTCCTGCAGAGACATGGGCCCCAAAAACCCACCAGTCGCCGGCTCGGGAGCCCTCATTGGCTGAGGAGGGTCTGCCAAAATGTTGCAGGTTATTTGTAACCCCCCAAGGACTTGCAAGGCTTGTCCCCCCCATTGTCTGAAGAGAACAGCCCTCCACACGCCTCTTCCATCCTGGGTGCCCTCCCGATGCCACCCCGTAGGGTGCTGCGGGGCACGGTGGGTGCCTGGAGGAGCCACGGGGAGGAGGGGACACCATGGGGATCGTCCCACCTTGCTGTGCCCCCCAAGTCCTGCAAAACGCAGTGGGGGAGCAGAGCACAGAGGACCCGGAGGTGCTCCAGCAACTGGGACCTGGGTCTGCACTGGGGTTGGGGTACTGTGGCCTCCGTCCCCACCCTGGCCGGAGCCCTCCTGGAGGGTCTGGGTGCCGGGGCACCCCGGGGCTGCCGGGCAAGCTGGCACCCCACGGCGGGAGAGGGGAGGGGGGTGGAAAAGTGGGGGGGGAACCCCGGGGGAAATTAGAGCAAGGAGCGATGTTTGATGTTCTGCTCTTTAAGCGATTAATAATCTTTCGGCGTCGGAGAATCAGCTGAAAATCTTCCCTGGAAAATAATGAGCGGAGAAACATTTACTGATTAGTCTAATCCCAGCTAATCCTATCTGATGAGCATATATCAAGATACCCTTTAACTGATTTATTGTCCGTAGGAGCGGTTGGGGATGCCCCTTCTCCACCGTGGACGGGCTCCCGGGGGGGGGAAGCCGGTGGTGGCCGCACGTGTGTGTGTGTGTGTGTGTCCTACACCCCCATCCTGCAACCCCCATCCTGGGGGTGGGTGCACCCCCCTGTCCCGTGTCCCCCCCACCCCGGCACGGCGGCGGCAGCGCCATATCCAGGCCACCTCGCCAGCGCCGGGGAGATTTAATCGCTATTTCCATTTCTGCCTCCATCGGCTTTCTCCCGGGTTTGGGCTTTTATGTTTCATAAACTGATTAGGAGCAATTATACGCCCTTTATCCCCAAACTTTCCAAATGCCTAGGCCATATGCATATTTAAGGCTTCATCATCTCTCCCAACAGCTCAGCCGGAACGCAAACTGCTGAAATCAAGCTGATTCTGGGACAACGTCAAAAAATTAGGGTTTTATCCACTAAATATCTGCTTGGACAGGAAATTTGTTGTGGGCGGTGGCTGGATTATGGCTTCTAATTACTGTGGGTAGATCCTCCCTGCCTAGCAGTGAAAGTCTCCCATTCCAGCAAAAACTGTGGCAAAACCGCTCTGGAGAAGCCAGAGGGGAGGTGCTCTGTCCCCAGGTGGGGGTGGTGATGCCCCCAGCATCCCTGCATCCCGGACCCGTGGGGAGGACACCTCCCCACACCCCCCAAATTGCTTGGTGGCCTTGGGAGTGTGACCACCCCAACACCTCCAGCTCCCCTCCCACCCCTTTGCCTTTCCTTGGGGCGAAGTGTGATGGCCCAGGGGGACACCCCCACCTCATCCGTGTCCCCCC